TTTTTTTTTTTTTTTTTTTTTTTTTTTGAAACACAATTGGATAAAAAACTTGGGAGGTTTGTCCTGAGCCTCACAACATTTTGAAGCGAGTCCAAAGCAGTTCCGCCAGAGGATATGGTGTCCATATACGATAAAGACGTCCAATTTTTATTGTTCACTCAAATTTTGAATCTTAAACACGGATCTTAATTCAAATTAGATCTTAAAGTGGAGGAGTTTGTGATGTAATCAAATGTTTTTGAAGCTTATCCCAACATTTATTTATCTATAACTCCCAAACTTCAGCTCTTGCTTTAATCATTTTGTTTTGTTCTAAAAAAAAAAAGTCAATTTTTAAAGTTTAAGTTTTTAACCTTTTCATTTGTATTTAAAACATCAGATTATCTTTCAATTTTATTTTAATACATCTTTTAACGAATCTAAAATTTTCAAACTAACTTATTTAATACATAAACATTAACCTTCAATATAAAATTTTAATCTTGTATCTAATAGCTTCATAATTTTAATTTTTTAAAAAAGTGTTAAATGATCTCATTTGGAGAACAACAAAACATTTTTAAAAGGGTGTGGAAACCTATTCTAACTGACAAACTTTGAGGGAAAAGTTTAAAAAAAAGTCTTAAAAATATCTACTCAAAATTTTAGAAAATTTTATTATTTTATTAGATAATTTTTAAAATTGGGGAGCAATTAAATTTTACTAAAAGAAAAAAAAGAAGGGTTTTGTTTATTGATTCTTGTAGTACAACTTTGGTAATTTAATTTAAACCCCACTAAACGAGAGTTGATATTATAGGAGCTATGGAAAATATATTCTTATTTAACTCATTGTGGAGTGGGTTTTGGTGTGGGCATAAATATTTGTCATCGCATCTCTACTTAAACTAATCATCTATATTCAAAGGGAGGTGAAGATTTGGATTCATCATTTATGTATATATTATTATATGTCAATTGCCCATGATCTTATCTATTTCATTCTCTTTCTTCCGTAAGGAGAGATCTTATAAAATCTGCCATAATTTCAAAATAAAAGAATTTGATCCCTAATAACAAGTTGACCATTCTGTGTTGTTAGGTACATAAACACTGAAGGCTATGAAGGTGGTTTCGAGAAATCAGACATCGACCAAATCATTGCAAGTATTGAATCCAACTACCAAAATTGGGCCACGCACTTCCCTTCTCTGGTTGTGGACGAAGCCGATCCTGTCTCAGTGAGCAGGTTTCAGAAATGCTTGCATGAAATGAGGCCTGAGGTTGCATTACCCTTAGCCAAGACTGTGTTCGGCGTTGACGAGAGAGACATTCTTGAAATGGTCGACATTCCCTGCACCATCGTACAGACTAAAACCGACATTGTCGTCCCTGCCTCAGTGGCTGTCTTCATGCAGAACAAAATTAAGGGATGTTGCACAGTCCAAGTTATAAACACTGATGGCCATTTCCCTCACTTGACTGCACACCTTGAGTTGCTTCAAGTTCTTGGTACAGTCTTGGGCTTTTGATAATTCAGTGTGAACTGTAGTTAATTAGTATGTTTATAGTCTCCTTTGTTTCTGCAGCATATATATATATGAAAAGAGTCTCCTTCGTCACTACATCATTCTTTTCGTCTCTGAAAACTAGCAGGAACACGAAAAGACTCCGTCTTTTCTTTTTTTCTTTACAGCCACAAGAAAAATGCAACCAATTCTCAAACACCTATCCAATCCAATCATTATGATACTCAAAACCTTTCCTGATATTAACTTCCATTTTCAATAAAGATAACTTTAGTCAATCGATATGTAAGTTAATAATATCTATAAAGTGAGCAAATTCTGGTCCAACAATAAGTAATATTAAACCATCTGAGTTTGATGTTTGATAAGATTGACCCGAGTTCTCGCATTGGAGGAATGAATTTATTTAGAAGCAGGTTCCACTCTTCAAACTTTGTAGTAGCTCCAAGTACCCCGAACTTTCGGGTTTAATGTACCTGCAAGTTTTCAAAAGAAAAATACGTTAGTTACAAACAACTCTGTACCCTTAAGGGTACCTTGAGAAGTAATGGTCAATGGGATTGGCTACACAGATGGGTAAAAGATTTGATACGAAAATGATCAGGAGTAAGGACCCAGAGAAAGAAAAGGACTACCAATCCTTCTGCTTTAACAATATTTGGTAGTCTAAATTTACAGTGACTTTTTAATTTCGTCTCCTTGACAATTTGGTTGAATCCGCAAACTTTACCATCAAGATCAACACTTGGTGTTGTAACTTAAGCAGATAATGGTCGAGTAACAAATTTATAGCCATAGAGAAAATAGTATTATATTATATAATACCCATGTCGAAATAGGAAGTCAATGATGACGAGAGCACAATTATGCTTGAATAACTGTGTCCTCCGAATCACGTTTGCAACATTTGTCACGGGCAACAACCTGAATCCTTCAACCTCCCCATCTGCCGAAAGTTTAGTCAGCAAAATTTAGTGGATGGAATATCTAACTAGACAAAAATTTGGATGAAAAATATATTGGTGCACTCAAGCACCGGGGACGTGGCAAAAAAGAGAGTTATTTGGAGCCAGTCTGGATTCAGTGCAACGGAAGATCCCTCGTCTAAGTTTTGAATGATTAAGTAAATGAAAATTTATCACGTTAACTAACCTTGATTCTTCGGTATAAAACTTTCAGGAAGCTTTAAATCGTAACAAAATAGAACATCTCTCTTGTAACTATAATCTTTGATGTCTGAATAGGAAACAGCACCAACAGGTATGGCTCTGAAACAAAAGCATTATAAAGCCAGTTCGACTAGTTAAACTTATGGCATATAACCTCGACCTCTGACATGTTGTTGAACTAAAGACAAAAAAATAAAAAAATAAATAAAAAAAACCACTGGCATGTAATACAAGATTGGTGTGAATTTCTAATTAAGTTCATGTTAGGAACTTACTTATTTGATATTGATCTTGGTATGCCTGCTTCCTCTTCACATTCCTTCATCAGATTCTCCCCGCAAGAAACGCCCTCAGGCTGTCACTATTATAAAGTCAGGGGCAAGCTATAAAGGTACAATAAGCATGATACTCAGCAATCAAGCGCACATTTCTAACTTCTCATCTCCCTTGGTTCTTTTTCCTCTCATCATTATTAAGCCTTGCATTTGCGTTCCTCAAATCTACTGATTAAAACATGTTTGTGCAGACTCTCTATTGCTCTTAGGAAATTATCAAACTTCGCATCTTGGTCTCAACCAAAAATATAATGCCCTGTTATTTAGATAAGGATTTATTGCCAAGTCAATGATTGTATCAGTATCAGAACCTATCTAATTTTGTTGTTAACTATACAACCTTTTCATCCAAACTGAAAGCCAAACACAAATAAAAATAAATTATTATTGGCTACGTTGACTAAGCTTAACAAAGCAGGTAAATCCACATTGACTAAGAAATGTCATACGAGAAAAATATCTTCATATAACAACAAGCCTCTAGCAGAAGAAACAAAATATAATAAGAAAACTAACCATTCAGAAACAAAAGGGAAGTCTTTTCCTCAATCAATGGGAAAAGATTGCAAAGCTCTGTTTGAAAGATGCAAGGAGTTTGCCAATCAACTTTTTCTCACATTTTAACGAGACAGAAGCATGTTTGTCATGACATATAACAAAACTAAACGATAGTTAGTTATTATTGATTACAAACCAGCCCTCCAGCTACTAATTCATCCAGCATTCCGGGAAAAGTTTGCTTCATTTGACTTCTTTTTGCTATCCACAAAAATTTCTTTCCATCCTTTTCAACATAACCATTCATCTGAACTCCATAAACCTGTACTACGAATAGACCAAGAGAAGTCCGGTAGAAATGTAGAAGTTAGAGTAACTAAAGTAGTAGAATAACCATCCCCAGCAATGTACACAGATATTGATTAGTGTTGTCAATATTACTTGAGATACTGTATTTATATTCAGTATGACGATCAAATATTAAAGGGTTTCAAATTTTAGACCTAACAACCAAACCTGTATAAACAGAGTCCATAAAACATATTGCTTATAATTTTTAATGTCCTGAAAGAAAAGGTTGGATCAGAATATGGCTTTTGAGAATTTGTTTAAGATTTTTTTTCTTTAATTGAATGGGAAACAAATCATTTCATCGATAAAATGAAATTACAAAAAGAAAAATCCTATCCAATGGGCTATAAGGGAAGATGAACAGTTACAAAAGGGGGAATCAATTAAAACAAGAAAATAGAAGTTTCCACAGTGCTGTAGAAGGGAAACATTCCCACCTTTATTCCAAAATAAGTAGCTGCTGCACGTTCAAGTGAGAAAAAAACCGGTGCACCAAAGGACGAAGTTACAGGGTACATCTGTCGGAGTTCATGGTTGTACACAGTTAGCCACAAGTAGCATCATCTTGTTCTAAGCTCTATCTAAAAAGAACCAGCTTATTTTGACATTAAACTGCGGAAAGCGATTGTATTTTACAAACAGTGACAAACATTGAAAAATACATAACAAGTGATTTAAATTGGAATCACAAGCAGTACCTCGTTCCGTATACCTGGAATAATTTCTTCACCCAAGCATTTGACTACATTTCCAACTGCATGTGTCCTATCTTCTGGTGTCTTCAACGATTCATGCAAGCTTAAGCAAGCGCCAACTCGAACAGAATCATCCCGGGGGAAGGTAAATACATTCGCATACTTCTTCAGGTGATAAGCAAAGCTGCATAAATTACATTAAAACAAACTGATGGAACCTATCCGTTTTGTATAGCAACAGCATACAAGCAAAATTTTATGAAATTAGTACGAATGAATAGTATAAACTACATGGACGGATCATATCTTTGATGTAGGTACTGTATCCTGAAAGATATAACAGTAGGAACCTCACCCGTGGTGCACATGACCAACAATTTGGTCATCGATTACAAATGGAAGAAATTCGGATTGCATATCCTGTTAGAAGATCTAGTCAATTCCAAACAGACATGGAACCACATTTCATGAGTCTATAACTGATCCTGCAAAGAACTTGAAATGTAAAACGAATTAACGCGCACAACGGCTGCTGAAACTCATATGGCTTTGAGACCTACTGATCCGCGATTGCAGAGCTTGACCTTCTCGAAATAGCCGGTAAGATCTGAGGGATCATCCTGAAAGCTTTCTGGCAGAGAAATGTGGACAGCGTCTTCCCAAGTAAAATTGCTGCTGGCAACCGATACAGAACGACAGGCGAAGGTCTTCGAGCGGTGTAATGTTGATGCCGTTGGATACCTCGCCCGGGAAAACATGGAGGCGTTGGAAATAGAAGAGATAGGCGAAGAGTTACGAAATCGGTGAGAAGCAAGAGATTTGCAGGCCATGGGTTGAATTCGAGGACAAGTCGCCATAACTACCAGAGAAGATAACAAATGATGAACAGAGATGGAATAATAAGATTTAAAAAAAATAAATAAAAAAAATAAAAATAAAAATAAGGTTTAAATTTGTCCTAAAAGAATAAAAATAAGAATATTCACATCTAAGATATTTACATTTGAATATTATGATTAGTTAAACAACCATTAAAGTTGCATTTACTAATTTAAACAATTTTCACGATTTTATTTATATTTTAAAAAAAATCTAGACAGTAAATATATCTACTTATACTTGAATGTAAATTATTATTTATTTTTTGGTTGAGTGAAATAATAATTATCTAACTTAAAACTTCCTAAAAATCAAAATAATATTTTAAGTATGATATATTGCCTTTTAGTGTTCTAAAATAAATATTTGAAACTTATCTTAAATCTTAACCATAGTAGATTGTTACGGAAGTAAAAGAAAAATATATATAAATACACAAACTTATTTGAATGCATTAGTTAAAACATATTAGGACGTGTCACATTCAACAATGTGTGAATTATTTGAGAGTAGAAAGGCAACAAAGAAAAACTATAAAGGGGAGATCAAAGCCAAGGAGTGTTGACCAAAGGAGTGACGATGGCTTTGGTTTGAAGATACTTATGAACCGCGTGCATTCCAGCGTCCCTACCGAACCCACTCATCTTGTACCCTCCAAATGGACAGCTCGAGTCGAAAGCAAAGTAACAGTTCACCCAGATGGTTCCGGCTCTGATCGACCTCGAAACCGTGTTCATTATGTCTACACTGTTCGTCACTATTCCAGCTGCTAGCCCGAACTTTGTGTTGTTCGCGATCTTTATTCCCTCCTCGATCGTTCTGCCAAACCCCAAAAACAACAAAACAGAACAAATTAAACCCCACTACTTGTGTTTTATGGGCCTGACAGGGTTTTGATTTTACTTGAATTTAATGACGCAGAGGAATGGCCCGAAGATTTCGTCCTGTGCGATCAGCGAGTGTTCCTGGGGATTTAATTAAAGGGTTAGATATTGAAAACAGAGGTGTGAATGAAAATTAAGCAGAGAGCAAGGGAGGAGCGACGACGACCTTGACGTCTGTGAAGATTGTTGGCTCTACGTAATACCCCACCTCGCCTATACGCCTGCCGCCTGTCGCCAATGTGGCTCCTTCCCTCTTACCGTGCTCGATATATTCCAGAATTTTCTTCAATTGCTTTTCATCCACCTGGGGTCCATACTGAACTTTAGGATCAAAAGGGTCTCCCACAACCCAAGATTTCGCCTTTTCAATAATCTTTTTCACAAATTCATCATAAATCCCTTCTTGAACCAAAACTCGGGAGCTGGCCGCGCAAGTTTCTCCCTGCATCAAACCAAATTAAATTTCTTATATGTAAAAAGCTCTGGGTCGTGTTGAAACGGATAACGACATTAACCTTGTTATAGAAAATGCCAAGAACAGCAATATCAACGGCTTTATTCACATCCGCATCATCGAAGATTAGGAGCGGCGATTTGCCTCCTAATTCCAACGATACTTGCTTCAGATTGCTCTCGCTTGCCGCCTGCATTATCGATCTTCCCACCTTCGTTGATCCTGTGAAACTCACCTGAAAACCACGCCACAATAAGTTTATTTAAATACTTACATAAAAGCTTAAATTATATTACATTTTAGCTACCTTGTCAATGTCCATGTGGTACGCAATTGCTGACCCTGCAGTGTATCCGTATCCTGTCACAACGTTCAGTACTCCATCAGGAATACCAGCCTACCAAAACGCGCCACGTAAGAAACCAAAAAAGGAAATACTTAATATACAAATATTTGAATTGATTTAATTATTCTGAGAAGATTGGGAAAGACCAATTTAGCGAGATGGGCGTAGAAGAGGGCGGAGAGCGGCGTTTGCTCGGCAGGTTTGACGAGCATGGTGCAGCCGGCAGCCAAGGCGGGGCTCACTTTCAAGAAGAACATGGTGGTCGGAAAGTTCCAGGGTATGATGTGGCCCACCACTCCCATGGGCTCCATTAAAGTGTAGCCGTGAAACGGCCTTGCCATTTTGAGTACCTCCCCGTGGATTTTATCCGCGGCACCGGCGTAGTACCGTAGCATATTAGCAGCCGACGGTACGTCGACGATCTTCCCCATCTGAAACAATTTTCCGCCGTCCAGGGAATCCAATGCTGCGATTTCCTCCACGTGTTCATCTATTAAGTCCCCCAGTTTCATCATTATTCGTCCCCTGTCCTGCACGGAATCACAGAAAAAATCCAAAACATTTACATTTCTTTTCCCCTTTCTTCTGTTTTTTGAATTATTGTAATAGTGGTCTTCTTTTTATAAATAAAGAGCACATGCATATCTGCATATCATAAAGAACACTTTCCCTCTTGACTGGTACAAGCCGTCTCTGTCATAAGCTTGGGTTTTAATGGCGATAACGTTTATTATTATTATTATTATTATTACTTCATCTTAAAAATTGGAAGCTAAACGACTCAAATATAGATACAAAGTATATAAATCGAAGCTATAATCTGAGCTGCATCTCAAAAAAAAACCCAAACTGGCTGTAAATAGAAATACTTACGGCACCAGACATGCGGGGCCAAGGGCCGTGATCGAAGGCTTCACGGGCTGCTTTCACGGCCAGATCCACATCTTCTTTCTCACCGGCGGCAACCGTCGTGATAACCTTACCAGTTCTTGGATCGAACGTCTCGAAAGTTTTTCCTGTTGATTTTTAAAGAAAATCATGAGTTGAGAGGCATCGGAGTTCTCCGTCTGAGTGGATTTCTTCTCCGGTGAAGGAAAAGAAAGAGAGAGAGGGAGAGATACCTGAAACAGAGTCAACAAATTGTCCATTGATGAAGAGCTTGGTGAACTTGATTTTGGGTATGTTGAGATGGGAGTCGGATTTTCCATTGGATTGATTTTCCATTTCCCTGTATAATCTGATTGTGTGTGTGTGTGTGTTTTTGTGAGCGGGAAAAGATGAGAATTCTCGATGAATTTTATGCGTTTCTTAGGGGGAAAACCGAAGACCGTTTATATCAGCAAAATCTGTTTCGCTACCAAGAATGAACAACATTTCTAGCCTCCTCCCGCTGGCCCACCGTCACAAACTTAATTTCAACCCGTCTAATATTATTTACAAGGGAGGAATGCTATCTCTATTCATATAGTTTTTCGAAAAATTCAAAGTAAAGCCACGAATACTTATGCTCAAAGTTGGACAACATCATATTATTATGGAGAATCGTGATTTCTAACCCAACTTTGACTCTTTTTTTTTCACAATTATTTACCTCATTTAAATATTCTTTTCCATAAATTATAAGATTAATTGTGTTCATTTCATATTTTTTTATTCGTAATGAGCCGAATAAAAAATTTCAATTTTAAATTATAAAAAATCAATTAGTTTATTGATTTAATATAAGATAATGTTTTAATTGCATCTAATTTTGTTTAATATAAATTATTTCATAAAAGTTTAAGAAAGAATAAATTATAAATAAAAAATAGTTTTATGGGAGTATCGATGTGAACAAATATACAAATATGGAAACATCAATTTCAAATAAACGGTTAGAAAATGTAACAAATTTAAAGGCAAGTTGAATCCAAAAGCTGGAATGTATCAGTTTTAGCACGAACAAATAAAATTATTATTAATAAATCAAAAAAAAATTTATAATTTTTAAGAGTAAATTAGAATTATTATTTCTTTCTGTCGGCCCTATTAGGTAGCGACACGTGTAGGTTTTCCAGTATTTAATACGTACAGCAGCCGGTCTTGTCTTGAATGTGTGTGTATTGTACATTTTGGAAGTATTAAAAATAAATGTGGTTTTTTTTCTTGTGCTAAAAAATCAGAAAATAAATATTAAGCCAATACCATAAATTATTCACTTTTTTCTCATTAAATTCATGCCACACCACAATTATGTTTAAAATCATAATTAGTATTTTTATTGTATTTATACAACCATTTTATCTTAACCTAATGTTTGCAATTAAATATTTTACGATATGTTATATTCCTTGTGCGTTGTAATTTCTTCAATTTGATCTCTTACTATAATAATGTTTTTTTTTTATTTCAATACAACATTATTAATGAATGACATGTTTCAAATCTTATTAATTACACGTTAACTTCAACCTACTTGAATGCCAAAATTTACTTGAGTCGGGCTTACATAAATGATTCAATAAATTGAGTTTCAAATTCAAACTAAAATTAATGTGTAGGTGGATTGTACCTTTCATTGAGTCAAAATTAATGCCAATTTTTTTTTTTTTTTGTACTTTTAATTAGTACATAATTGATTTTTTTTCTTCTAAAAGTTTCTATTTGTCAAGGTTGATATTTCTTATTTTAATTTTTATTGAATAATACTATAATTTATAAGGATCATAAAAATAGTAGTCAACTTGTATGGTTTATAGATAATAGATTATTAATACAATAAAAGAAGTTTTAAGTCAAGAAGTAAACTCAACATATTGTTAATTTTTATTGCCATAACTTAGGTAACTTGTAATAATATTAATAACAATAATGACTTCGTATAAATTTAATTATTGTAATTATTATCTAGAAAAAAAATGAGATTCAGTTTGTATAATTAAAAAAAGTCAACGATTGGAAAATTGCAACTCAACATTTAACATATTAAAAGAAACCCATATTTTAAAACTATTAAAATATAAAAATGTAAACTTCCACTGTGTATTTTATTTACAAAATTTTTTAATTTATTAAAAAAAAACAAATTAGATTTTGAGTTAAAAAAATAGAGCAAATAAAAGGCAGAATAAGACATTGTGGGGTAAGGGTTGATTTGGTACTATACATGGATGGAAAATGTGAGACCATAAAAGTTTCAAATCCGCTAATTTAGAGAATGATCATAGTTTATAATAAAAAAAATCTCTATTGGTACGAGGATTTTTTAGAAGCCCAAAGCAAAGTCACGAGAGCTTATGTTCAAAGTAGACAATGTCATACCATACCATTGTGGAGAGTCGTGTTCATCTAACCGAAAGAAACCTAATCTCATACAAAAACAAAAAGTGTAATGGTGACGACAACTTGCGAAGAAGTTGGGGGGTGGGGGTGAAATTATTGAAGCTGGTTGTCAAGAAAGAAGGCGGAAGCAGCATCGGCGAGGGCAAAGCGGGCGGAGAAGGAGCGGCAAAGAATATCGGGCTCTTCGGTAGCGTTGCCTTGGTCGAAATTCTGTGAATAAGAGAAAGGATCATAAGGAATGAAGTTCCCTGAGGAATACGTCGTGGTTTTGTTCCTCTTTTCTCTTCTCAGTTTCCTCCATAACAGCTTCCACAGATTGGGTTGGTACCCGCTTCTCCATCGCCCCAATCTGATGGTTTGTTTGCTGCTGTTCTTTCCCATCATCAAAGCTGCCAGATGATTGAGTTTGGTATATGAACGGACTTATAAGTTAAAATGAAAACCGGATTTTGTGGATCCATTTCCATATGCTGCAATGCATCCACATGTGAATGGGAGGGTGGGGATTTCTTGAATTATTATCAACCATCTTCCATGTGACACCCAAATTTTCAATTATTCTTATATCCAATGGGTCAAACTTTAATGATGGCTTAATTAATTAATTAATTACCAACATCATCTAATCTTACTTCTTATTTGACATGTTTAAGAAATGAAAATGAGGAATGGAGGTTTGTTTCATTCAAATGAAGACGAGAAATCCTGAATAAAGTGATGTTAATAAAGTGGAGTGTTTGTTTGTGGATGAATTCAAGATTCCGACAACACATTTGTTTCATGCAAAACAACAAACCACGAAAGAAAGAAGAGCAACTTAGGTTAAAGAATGTGAGTAGGAAACCACTCAGCAATGACCGGGAATACCCCACTCTACAATTCCACGCCCAACTTGTGTTATGCACTAAATTTTAGATACTAGAATAGAGCTTTGGGTTTGCCATGGAACCCATGAAGTGGCAAGCTTTGGTACTCCCACACTCAATTATGTTATACTTTCTCTCTTTATTCTCCAATGATTCCTTTTGCATTGCATGAAAGAAAGGAAAGAAAAAGTTGAGGAAAAAAAAAACCTTTTCTTTTCGTATAGGAAGAAGAATTAGATTCTTTTGTTATTGATCGTGAACTTTGGCCCATCATTCAAGCAAAGGACGATGAATAATATAGCACTCCTAAGTCATTGTTAGGAACCACGACTCTACAAAATAGTACGATATTATCTATTTTGAGTATAAAGATGTTTGTTTTAACTCTGGTATAAAAACTCCAATTCCACATATTCTTTTCTCCATCATAAACCAAATACCAAAACCAAGATTGAAAGGGACAGAAGAAAAGAAGAAAAAATGTGTTACCCACATGATTTACGGCCTTGGCTGGTAAGCCGGAGGGAGCTTTTGGGTGTGCAAAGCAATTGGGTCCTCTTGCAGGCAGCGTCGGCGGCTGGGAGTAGCAGCAGTGGCGGTGGGTCGGCGAACAGGCGTTGCTTGTGCTCGCCGACAGGGCATCCGGGGTCGTTTCGTTGCAGGCTGCATCGGAGTGAGTACGTTTGGGTGGGGCGGATGAAGACAACTCGTGTGGAACAATGATGTCTTGGAAAGTGAATGTTTTTCTATGAATACAATTGTGGTTCTGGTCTCTGTCGGCCAAATGAATCGCCCGAATGTTTGTGTATGTCCATAAGGACGAAATCCGTCCATTTTGAAGTCGTAAGCTCTCCATATGAATGGCCGCAGAAGCATATGCTCAAAACAAGTATGAATTCTCTTCTTTTCATAATTTTATTTCTAATTTTCTTTTTAATATAATTGATCTTCGTTTACTTATTTAATTTGAATAACTCAACAATAATTTCTTTCAATATATAATCAATTCATTTTTTTTACAAATAAATTCTTATAAAATTAATGAAATTACTGAGTAGTTAAATAAAAAATTTAATCGATGCATATTTTTTTAATTGTTATTAATCATTTACAAAATGGGTTCAAAAAAATATTAATCTTTAGTGATGTTTTGAATCAAATTCGATGGTTTTAAGGTTACCACGATTAATTTTATAAAGTACATAGAAATAGAATTTATTTTCATAAAATCATGATGATGACACATGAAAGCTTAAACTAAACAGCACTAATCCACAAAGAATTAAACATTTTCTTTTTGTGGATCCTAAGTTGATAGGAGTGATAATTACAGACAAATTCAGCAGAGGATTTGGGGAGTTCTATCCTTCCCTTCACTGCAAATATAAGAAACAAAAAATCCAAGGGGTTGTGATTTTGCAGAAATATGAACAGAAAAGTAGGCAAAATGATGAGTTTTTATACCTCAGGGTAGCAATCTTGATGCTCAATCGTTTGCCTTTTTGTATTCACAAATACATCACATGATACCCTTGCCTGATAAGTAATAAAGAAGAACACCATTGAAACAACAAACAGAGCACTCATACACAAGTATTTAGGCTGAATAGTCAGAGGGGGGAAAGAGGCTCTAATAACCTAAGGCCACCGCTAACAAATATTGTCCATTTTGATCCATTACCTATCGACGTCAGTCTCACAATTTTAAAACGTGTTTAGAAGGGAGAGGATTTCATACCCTTATAAACAATGTTGCATATTACCCAAAGAAAACAATATGTGCTAGTGATGAGCTCGAGCGGCTACAAATGAAATCAAAATCAGGGACCGGGCGCAAGGGAGTGGATTGTGAGATCCCACGTTCATTAGAGAAAGAAACGAATCATTCATATAACGGTATGGAAACCTCTCCCTACTAGAGGTGTTTTAAAGCCTTGAGAGGGAACTCAAAACAGAGAGCCCAAAGAAGACAATAGTAGCGGTGTGCTTAGGCGGTTGTAACACGGTAGGGGGGTGGGAATGAGGAAGCAGACATTATAATCATATTCATTGCGAGAGTGGAACAGCATTGTTCAAATCCAGAAGAAGGTGTATATCTTCTTCAACCATTTCCCCACAATCAACGGCAAGTATCAAAGTTGATAGAGCATTGTTTTGAAAATCACGCCTATTTTTCTACTCTAAATTTCACCTTTCTTTGCAGGATCAAGAAATGGGTTCTAAACATTCAATGGGTCACCCACAAAGTTAGTCTTTTCCAACTATCTGAACTTCTACACTAAGAGAGGTGTAATAGTGTTGCCAAAACTGTATACATCATTTAAATCTTGTATACATCATTTAAATCTTGAAGGGTGGAGATTGAAAATGATTGCAATCAAATAAACAAAAGCTATAATGTATGATGCTGATGATGATTTCGATCGTTGATTATACTTTGCGTAAGAGTTAAGAACGAATCAACGGTGCATAATCCGAGTAAATATTTGATGTAATGTTAGAAACAGAATGAAAATCAAGATTACCTTAATGGGGAATTTGATAAAGAAAAACCCCATGAATCCTTCGACTTCCGTCTTTGAATCGAATGGAATGATACCTTTCCCCAAATCCTGAAGCAAGTAAAAGGCATCGTGAATGACCTCAACTCCATTCAAATCCACAGTGGCATTCACATAAGAAAACCCTCGAGCGGAAACTCGACCGCCGTCGGAGCTGACAAATCCAAGTAGTCTTCCCCGGTAACCAACGGAAACGCCAAGGTAATTGTAATCGAGAGAGAAGAAGTTCTTATTGCGAACCCTAATAGAAGCAGAGATGGAAAGGTCAAGGACGAGAACCGGCAACAAACGGACTTTGGCGTGGTTGAGTCTCAATCGGACGAGTTGGAGCGAGGGATCCGAGGGGAAGAGTAGAAAAGATAGAGCGGCGAGGAGGAGGAAGGCGGCGGAGTATTGGGCACAGAGGCGGAGAAGGCGTCGATGTGGGTATGGAGGGGGCCGGTAAAGGGACAATAGGACGAGGTTTTGGTGTCCGTGTCCGGCATTTTGGGGGAGGAGAGAGACAGAATCGTCCCTGGAGCTGGAAGTCATTTTTTGATTGAGAGAATTAAAAAAGGGAAGACATTTGTATGAAGCTCTGCAAACAGGCCTCTGTTAAGGGTAGTAGGTAGGTTCAGCCTGTCAATATTTTACACCTCACAACACAGCGTATACGCAAAGTTTCAAATCCTACAGTACCATCAAAACCCACCGCATAATATGACGCCCAACAGCTTCAAACAGAAACAAAAACAAACCAGAATTGGCCTTTGTATGAACATGAGTGAGCCTGGTGGTGGGGGAGCAGAGGCATTGGCCTCTGTACGAACATGAGTGAGCCACCCCGGGCTGATGTTGATTTTGCCGTGGGCTGCCATTTTTGCAAAGCAACTGGGAAACCAGAAACAAGGGTTCAATTTTGTTGGGTAATCAGTTGGGTGAGTGCAGAAATTGAAGCTAGCCGTCGTTTTCGAAATGGCCGAAATGGACTGTTTGCAGTGCAGCTGCGGCGTCTGGATGAACAGTTCCTTTTTCCTTTCTCTTACATTTTCTGCAATCGAGGTCCCTCAAAAACACCCATTTAGTTTGTTTTTGGATTCTTTTATTCATCACTCTTCCCAAATCACATGGGTTCCAGCAAAAAAATCACGACTTACAAGAAACACAAGGGAAAAACCTCAAGTGAAAAATCAGTATCGGAATTTTGTCTCTTTTTCTTTGACTGATTCAACGAGATTATAAATGAAATGGGATTGCTTTTGATTTATTTAGAACATCTTAGATGATATGAAGATATAATAACTTTGCTTCTTTGTCGGCCAGAAATTCAGCAACTTTCCATTAACAACACAAACAAGTGGAAAACAATAAATTTTGCAAAATCTAGATAACTTCGTGGACTGGTACAGAGGCGTGCAATGTTCAGACCAGTGCTTTGAGAAACTCGCTACTTTCTTCTTCTTCTTCTTCACTACCACATTCAAAACATACCCACCACCACCATAGAAAGTTAAGTTTCACAACAAAGCTGTAAAGAAAACTCTGGCATCACACTAACTCTAAACGTGCCATTGAATTACATTACCATGAAGGTGAAGTACAGGGAGAACCAGAGGAGGAAGATGATAGACCATTGTTAGTGTTAGAATCGCTTCCAGAATTCCTCAGAGACGTGGCGTCTCTCAATGTAACCGAACAAGCCTCGGCTGGGAGCTTCTTCATTGGCGTTAAAGGTGGTGTATTTGGGAGGGAACGAAGAGTACTTGGAGGAGAAGCTACAATCTCGTCTTCTTCAGAAGAACCACATGTTTCCAATCTTGAAGGAGAGGAATTTGGTGTTTCGAATGGGGTGTCTCCTCTGCTTGGCCTGATTGCATCATTGTCATAAATCGGATTTGAAATGTACATAAAATGGTCACTGCCAATGGAAGAACTGTCATTACAGGCAATGGCAGGGCTTAATTTACTCTGAGCACAAACTTTAGAAACAGATAGGTCAGGCGAGGCTGAGATGAAGGGTGACGGCGGGCGGGATGGAGTTGAAATGAGGCCGATTCGGTGAGGGCTAAGGGACGATTCATGGGCATCAATGTCGATAACTCGATGAAGTTGAGTGCTTCGGCTCTTTGCTTCAACAACATCTACATTGTTGTCTTTGATACAGGGGACAGAGGGGAAAAGAAAGTTTCTTGGAGCACTAAGAACCCCATGAGCATACAAGCTGCTAAGTGAAATAGCTGGTCGGTTGTTGTCCCTGGGAGCAGCTGAAGGCAGAGACTGGGAAATGTTGGTGGCGGCTACAACAGGATGAGCGGAGGAGGTGGTGGAAGTGGTGGTGGGCGGTGCAACACGAAGCCTACGGCGTCGGAGTAACAGAGAGCAGTAGAGCTCGGCAAGCAACACAAGAATAAGGCCCAACACAAAGGCAAGGCTCACCACCATTATCAGTGTAGCTCCCAATATCACCTTGGAACTTCCCTGCATGTTTCTCTATCAAACTCTCTCACTCTCTGAATCTCTAGAAGTAGTTAAAATCTGAAGGGATGGCGGTAAATATGAGGGTGCACTCAAGGAAGGGGAAAGGGTATTTTATTTTTGGCGGGAACTATAGAGAGAGAGAGGGAGAGGGAATCTTACGGTGTGGGGGGAGGACTGACGAATGGGAAGGCTTTTGTGTTCTGTATCCGAGATGGAGATCCACACTTTCAGACATTCGAGGTAAAAAAAAGGTCTTTTAACCAATACAGTTTTCTACCATGAAAAACCTCTGCAGAAAAATGGTCAAATGTCAATGTCTCAATGATGTTGTTACGTTCAATCTTTAAAAGAAAACCAAAATGTCTGCAAGAATATAAAGTTTGGTCCCATAATGTTAAGACATGAAAGACGCGATAGGGATGTGTACAGGACACAGGAGCAAGATGGTTTTTTAAATAAAGAATAAGACACTTGTTCCCTTTGAATGAATGGGATACACAGGGAAACCTAAAAAGTATGAAGCACAAGCTAGCAATCTCATCACGAAAATGGGGTCGATCTACATTTGGCTATCAACATCGGTATCATTTGAAATTTGAGGTTGTACAATCGCTATTACGGGTTAACAGTATACTTCTTAAAAAACTAGTGATGACCATCGTATGTGAGATTCGACAGGATGCAGCAGCCCCCACATACACGTAAGGGCTATACACAAATGTTCGTGTGAGAGGCAACCCAAAAGAGAAGACACACTTGGAATGCTTGATTATGGGCGCATCACCAGTTCACAGGCGATCTCATCTCAGAGGATATGTAGTGTATAATGAAACTGTTTACCCTCCTCTCAAGGCTGCAAATCGAGCAGCCAAATCATCATAGTCGGGCAACTTCGGATGGACGTGTTTAGCTTCACTTGATCGATCTGGTTGAAAGGAAGCAGCCCGAGTATATACTTTTGTTGCTTCTGATGGACCCAGATGATGTTCACGAGGTACCGAAACTGATCGTGCTGGTGGAGGAACTGTATCTGCCTGCATATTAGCCCCATCTCTGCTTATTTTATTTGAAGGGCACTTGGCAGGAGCAAGATGAATTTTAGGCTTCCTTCTCGTCTTTTCTGGTTCAAATGTTGCGGGTTTCTTACTGTAATGTATCAAAAGGTTGTCCATTATCCTTTCTTCTTCATCCTTTTCATTATCCTCTTCATCAACCAACAGCTGCAAGCCTCGTTTATCATCTCTTCTCCTTCTCGAATTCTTTCTCACCGTTCGAATGTCCTCAACATTGTCATCAACTGAATGACTGGACCGTGGCTTATGGTGCCTTCTTCGCACTGATTTTGGTTTTGGCAGAGCATCAGGGGGTATTCTAGCACCAAAGACATGATCCATCTCACCATCCCGATTACGTGTCTTCATAGGACTAGCAACCTGCCTCTCATGGTCAGAATGGCGTGGTTCTAACTGGATTACATCTGCAACCATTTCCGATTTGACATGTTTCTGAAGATCTGTCGAGATGCAATTGTTGTCATGGCCTGTACGGGATAATTCCAATTGGCCCCTATCCTTATTATCCTTCCTTCTAGAGTTGACTTTTACATATGGAGGGAGGGTACTGTTGTAGCTGGATTTCAAATTATGATGTTTATCCTCCTCAGTATGAGTACTACCAAATATTGATTCTTTAACATCACTCTTAAATGGCAATCCTCTTCCATTGTGTGCAGTATGATTATTACCAGATGATGGCTCTTTGATGTCACTCTTCGAGTGCAATCCTGCACCACTCAGAGCAACACCTGTATTATTGTAAGGCGAAGACTTCAAGTAATTTGCACCTGCCCGTTCTCTGCCAATATGCACAACAGGTCCATCACCTGCATCTCCCAACACTTCACTCGAAGAACTGCCTATTGTACCAGTAGTCCTGAAGGCAGAGCCTCTCATTACGTTTCTAGTTTCATGCTTAGTAATAGGAGCAGAACCTGGATTATGGTAGGGTGAAGAGTTCAAGTAATCAGGACCAGTCCGTTCTCTGCCATTATGCACAAATGGTCCTTCTTCAGCATTTCCTAATACTTCACTCGAAGAGGAACTTCCCATTCTACCAGTCCTGTGGCTAGAACTCATTGTCCCATTTCCACCTTCATGCTTATTGACTGTGGAACCTTTAACTCCATAATGATTTATGTGGCCATCAAATTTCAAGTTTGCCTCTTTTTTTTCATGTACTCTCTTCTCGTGTCCATTATGCACAAATTGTCCTTCTTCAGCATTTCCTAATACTTCACTCGAAGAGGAACTGCCCATTCTACCAGTCCTGGGGCTAGAATTCACTGTCCCATTTCTACCTTCATGCTTATTGACTGTAGAACCTTTAACTCCGTAATGATTTATGCGGCCATCAAATGTCAAGTTCGCCTCTTCTTTTTCATGTACTCTCTTCTCGTGTCCATTTCCTGGTAATTCTTGCCTAGATTGAAACTTCAATTCTTTTCCTCCTGAAATGGTACTATCAGGGGGATTGACGAATCTGTGCCTGCCATTTGCATACTCAAAACTTTCTTTGTTTGATGCATCATCCTTACCCACCCTAAGATCAATTTCCTTAGCACGGGAAGGACTTTTTTCTACTGCTTTAGGTAGGCCCTGAAAAAGTCAGAGACGAGAAGTTCAAATGTAGGCAAAAATCTAATTATTTCCCATTGCAACTTGAGAATTATAATATATGACAGCTAAACTGGTGAAGACCAAAGGCACCACTCAACTGAAAATTTTAGGAAACTGGAAATTAAAACTTTCAATCTCGTTTCTTACATGCTGGGAAATAGTAGTAAGATAAGGGGATGAAGTGCACCTGAGCGTTGGCTGGGGGAGTGGACATTCTCTTCTCAAAACCCGCAGAATCCCACTTGATTGAAAATTCCAATGCTATGTCTTGCAATAACTGAACCCTGTTCTCCAATGTGGACGGCTTGGAAGCTAAATTTTCAACAAACTACAGAAAAAGTATTAGTAATTAGTCTCTTCAATAAGAAAGATTCAGGAAACCTGAAGTCGGTAGTTGAGGCATTACCTTTTGGTTCTTCAAATGTTCCAAAGAAGTCCCAAATCTCTCCTGAAAAATTTGCCTGAGATCACGCAATTCTGGCAAATCCGAAAATCTAGCAGCGGCGAACATGAGAGATGCAATAGCCTCACGACATTCCTCAGGGCATTCCCTGTGAAGATGATGAACAGAGGGAATCAGATTATCCAATATAAAACCAGAAGCCAAATTTCTATGATGATATAATTTTTCCTATCTAAAAACTATAAAAGCAACACTGGTAAAACGACATGAAGTGTTTTTTGAATGATCGGAAGGTATCTTCCCAGCTAATAAGATGTCCAACAAGATTTAACCAACTCCAGAAATCAATTAAAATCAACCTACCATTCATCCATGGCTCAAGTTCATCATGCATGCCAGACACCTCAAATTAACATGTCATCTCTAAATCAATAAAGCGCAATAAATTTTACGGTTTGATAGAAAAGCACAACATACAGAGTGGGAAAGAAAAAAGAATGGTGTATATCATACCAGTATCTAAGGACCAGAAAATCTAAGGGGAAAAATAAAAAAGCCAGCTCTGAAATTTGAAAAGAATGCATGTAATGACATACACTAATATGTGCACTAAAATTGAATCAAATCGTGTACCCTTAGCTCCCAATTCTTCTGTATTAACACAACACATAAGCATGATTCAATACCTCTGCTTTTGCATGATCGGAAGATGCTTCAGCACAGTATCACATGATTGCTCCACGAAATCATAACAGGAAAAAATTGTCAACTCAACTAGAAGCCCCTCAGCCTGTTGTCCACCGCAAGATCAAAAAAAAAGAAAACATCAGTTTCTTAAAGCCAATCACTAGCTGAATACCACAATAGTTATCATAATAATCAGAGAAAATATAGAAAGGGGAAGCCCGGTGTGGGAGGAGAAAAAGAGATAGAAGTCCCCACTAATCAACAAAGGTTCTAATTTCTAAATCAAAGACCCAAAATGGAATTGAAAATTGTTGGAAATAGATATGGTTTGCAGACGTAAATTTACACTTGGACAACACTACAAAAATAGTACATTTAAAAAAAAAAAATAAAAAAAAAAAACCCTGCCCTTCATACACTGACTTGTTTGTCCTCGAACCCTAAGAACATCAAATCATTTTTCAATTCAACCAAATGATCAGAAGGAAATAATCATTTCACACAAAAATTGAAATGCAGGAAAAAAAAAAAAACAAAGTACCCTTCCATAAGCATTAATGTCCAGCCCGTTTGTGAGCAGATCAGCAATATCTTTCTTCAGAAATTTCAGAGTCGCTTTCTTCTTCCTCCGTATCATATCGATCCGACTTTTGGTCAATTTAATCAGGGATTTGCTACAAATATCAAGAAACAAAAACATCCGTCCTTTAAGCTCCAAAAAATAAAAAAGGAAAATCCATAACAAAGATATGAAAAACAGATCGGATTAAATACCATTTGGATGTAAATCCCCGGCCGAGAATCCCATCCAACATCTTTCGGTCCTGAATTCCCTTACAGTCTTCAAGCAATAAACCTCAGGCCCCAAATACCAGAGGAGTCATCACCAAAACTCAGAGAGAGAGAGAGAGAGGGAGAGAGAGAGAGAGAGAGAAAAGAGATGGGAAAAGAAAGAGAGAGATCGAAGCTGGGCAAGACGAGAGAGACGACGAAGCTATCAAAAACTCCACTGTCACAGAAAAGGTAATCTTCCTAAAGCCACTCGAGTGAGCCGTTCAGTTGTTCAATTCTCTTTCTCAAAACACAAATTACCCATTTACAAAAATACCCTCACCTTTGTCACAAAAGTCACAACCCCTCACTAATCCGCATTATAACGTTGGAAGGGCATTTTCGGAGTTCAAATCCTCTTCTTCGACCCACCGTAAGAATCGGCGAGTGAAGACGAGAGAGAGATTGTGGGCGTTGGATGAGATGACTTTCTCGTTTGGGTAGTGAGTATTGATGCTTCAAAAACGGGCCGATGATTTAACACAAATTTTAAAATTTTATTGGATAAAAAAAATAAAAAATAAATTATTAAGTGAAGAGAGACAAAAGCTCGGCTTCGTGGGCTTGTTTTAAGCGCTAGGTTTGGTAAGCCACCGCAGAACTAACGACCGTTATAACGGGAGTTGATTGACG